TATCGGATTTGGATCGGTCTCGTCTGACCGATACCCGATCCGGCAGAAGATGGCAGTATCGGATCGATGCATCCCTACTTTAAACCAGGGGTTTTCAAACTGGGGTCCATGATGCAAAGCCAGTGGGTCTGCAAAATAATTTGCTATGCCGTATTTTCCGGACTGCAACTTGCGTTTTTTTATCTTCTGAAATGTGCAATGGTTTATATTCCAAAGTGACTTATTTAATGCATTAATGTCAAATAAGCAAAGCGTAAACACGTAAAAGCGGGCACTTGAAGGTTTATATAGCTAAATATATTTCTCATGTCCTGGGTGTTTTTTTACTTAGACCTGTCCAGTATTTAAATTATTTCTGAAAGTAATAGTAAAATGCGACTTGCACACCGATGCAACTTATGTTTTGTCATCCACCCCCCCACCCCCCGACCTGGTGCTTTCCAGAAAATATGGTAAATTTAATTATATTAATTAATTATATTATGCTGTAGTATTAAAAAGTACATATACAATGGGGACCATTTGCACCAATAAAACAATCATATTATGTTCATTCCTCCTAACCACATTAAACTTTAACCTTAAACACTGTTATAATTATGAGGGGGTCCTTGGAAAATCCTCTCCCCTGTAAGGGGTCCCTGGCTCCAAAAAGTTTGAAAACCCCTGCTTTAAACTGACTCTTTTACTTTCCTAATAAATGTTCCTGTTCATACTTTGACTGATTCATCAGTGCATGTTATTCTTAAAAATTAAGCAAAATATAATGTCTTCTACCTTTTTGTTTTCTGCTTATATAACCCAAAATTCATAAGCAGGGAAACATAATATTAACCAATAACATAAACCAGTATAACAGCTGTATACCACCAGTGGATGAAATGAAGGTGTACCCTAGATTATTTCAGACTGAATAGTAAGTTTAAAGTCAATGTAAAGTCAAACTTTATCTTGTGTGTTTACTTAATGCCTGTGCCTGGACTTATTGTGCACAATTCATGCATGCTTTTCAAAAGAAGAAGAAGAAAAAAACTTGTAACGTACAACAACTGCTTTGCCTCTGAAGCAACTTTCCTTGTCAGATGGCATAACTGAGCCTCAACTCTTCCCCTCCAACCACCTCACTACATGTTGGATCCACCAAACAATTCCCAATGGATAAAATCCATTCCTACTCTCCAAATCCAAGTCCTACTCTACAATTTCTCTCTTTAAATAACCAAATTAATTTGGAAATCCTTCAGATTACAGAAGTGAAATGGTTTTGTGAATGCTGTTTCATTTTCATATTGTCTAACCAAAGCAAACAACTCCAAAATGCAGCGACTGTCCAAGCCTCCACTATGATCTAATCTCTCATGTGTGGTCAATGATTAAGAGGCTGAAGACACATGGCTCAGATGAAAGGGGAGATCATATGACTGACACCAGAGGAGTCCTGCTATGAGCACATTTAATTCATGATACCTGACACCACTGCAGAAGTCCAAAACCAACATCAAGACAAGCTATTCTCACTCTCACCCCGTAGAAAATTTGCACACTTGCCCACACCCCAAAACTCCCAGTGTATGACATCATCACCATGAGATCATAAACACTGGATTCACACATATAACAGGACAGTGTTTGAAGCCAAGTACAAGACTGAAGCTTGTCATCCTGTTTGAAGTTCTTTTACAACAGGCCCCAGATCATTACCAACTCGTCACTAACGATAAATTTCTACAGAGCTCTTAAAGGGACATGGGAGGAAAAATTATATTTCAATGCTTTTGCATTCTCTTCACAAAAGTTTCTCTGGAGAGAACTTAAGTTTTTGAGAGTGAACGCAAGTTTCTTGGGGGAACACAACACTTTTTCATGTGTATGCAAAGCTTCTTGGGGAATGTAATTACTGTTGCAAGAGAACGCAAATGTTTTGTGAGTGAATACAAAGATTCTTGGGGGACTGTAAGTGAATACAAAAGTTTCTCGGGGCAACACAATACTGTTGCGCAGTGAACAAATGTTTTGCGAGTGAACGCAAAGTTTCTTGGGGGAACGCAATACTTTTGCGAGAAAACTCAAATATTTCATCCCATCTCAATTTTTTCATCACACTTAAGTGGCTCCAAAAATGTAAAACTACGAACAACACTTTATGTGTGTCAGGACGTAATTTCCAGATGATAGCTGTAAACAGGAAGAAAGTGATCTTGTAATTGCACCTGTTTTGTGTGAGTGTGTACGTGCTCTGACCTGAGGACAACAGGCTTCCACTGCTGCCGCTGATGATTTTGCCTTTGCTGCCCATGTTGGCCAGTTTGGAGGTCTTGAGGGTTCCTGTTTCTGTCAGGTCTATGGCTATCTCATTCAGACTGCGTGCTGCGTGGATCTTACTCTGAGAGACAGAGACAGAGAGAGTGAATGTGCTTGCCAGCTGTGTTGAGTGTCTCAGAATTTTCCAAGAGAAGAACATTCCGCAGCTTTTAAAAGTGTAACAGAATCCTAGAACAAAATCAGAGACAGATAGTTATAAGTGTGTTTGTGTGTAAGTGTATGTGGCCCTGAGGATTGCAGAGATGGTTGTCTAGACGGTGAGACGGTTAGAGGTAGACCACAGAAACACACAGGAAGGTCGATGTAGTAAGAACGAGGTTATCAACCAAACACACACACTTTGATAAAAGAAAGTTTGGAGACGGATCCGAAAACACAAACGCACACTCACTTTGCTCTGTTTGCGGTCCAGGTAGAACTGGTGCTGGCTAATGGCCATGGCCCAGATGGATTTGATGAGGGTGGGACAGGCGTACCAGGTGTGCACAGCGATGCCACTGTGACCAAACGTCCTCCGCGTTACCGACGCCCTGCAGTTGGATCAAACACAAAACGACTTTATATTCACTGAATTTTATGACATTGTCAGTGCAGAAACCGATGTCAAAATGTTTATTATTGCCCAAACACATTTAAAACACTTATGTTTTGACAGACGCACACCATCTTTGTGTTTGTCATTTTAATAAATACAGTCAAAAAAACGTTACCTCCTCTAAATTGGATGAACCACAACCAAAGTTACATAAAAACAGCCAATAAACAGACATGTGACCATGTTATGTTGCTTGGCTAGTTAAGCTAATATTAAGATAAAGCTTACTGACGCTTTTAAAATTTTAACAGTTTTGCAAATTCAAATCTTCAAATTTACAAATATCTTCCAATCACTTTAAACACTACCATCCAAAAGTTTGGGATCAGTAAGATATTTAATGTTTTTGAAAGAAGTCTCTTATGCTCACCAAGGCTGCATTTACTTGATCAAAAATACATTAAAAACAGTAATACTGTGAAATATTATTATAATATAAAGTGACTGTTTTCTATTTTAATATATTTTGAAATGTAATTTATTCCTGTGATGCAAAGCTAAATTTTCAGCAGCCATTACTCCCGTCTTCAGTGTCACAATCCTTCAGAATCCTTCTAATATGCTGATTTGCTGCTCAATAAATATTTATTATTACCATCAATCTTGAAAGCAGTGGTGCCGTTTAATATTTTTGTCGAAACTGTGATACATTTTTGTCAAGTAGTTCAATAGCATCCAAGAACACCATCCAAGCTTTTGACCGATGGCTTATACTTCGATACTACTAGAGACGTATGATAAAAATTCACAAAAATGCATTTAAATTCTACTGTCTGCCATATTATTAGCCACCAGTTAAATATATATATTGTATGGGAGATATGAAATGTGAACTGGTGTTAGCACATAATACACCCGACAGTTCTGCAATGTATCAGCTTAACATACCACATACAGCACAGCCCACAGACACACGCACACCATTTACACTGTGGTCAAACCTAGCGCACGTGTGTGTCCTGTGACGGGCTTTATAAAAACCTCCAGGCCCCTCCACTAGAACAAAGATAAACAGCAGACCCTCATGTTCTGACTCTTATCAGAACTATATTAGTGTATGTGCGGGTGTTGCACTGACTTAAACTGAATGACAGTGAACTTAACAAAAAGGAAAATACATCATAGTCTCTCATGCTGCAAAATAAACAGATTGTATCATCTTCCTAAACTGTTTTGCTCTCTTTCATGTCATATTTCCCCAGCCTCCAGCATTTCTGTGAACTCCCTCTGTGTTCTCCTCGATTCTGGGCTGTCGTGGTGGTTGTTTGAACAGCGTGAATGAGGCGGTTTGTCTGTCAGCATCTGAGGCAGCGTGTGCTGCTGCTTTTGGCAGCATCTGCTCTCCTAAAGAGACTAACCAGCCCTCGGCACGCACTGATGATGTCATGAGGGCCTGATTAAACCCTGAACACATCCTAAAATCCACACAGAGAGAAAGAGAGAACAAACTGAAGATATGAAACAATCCCAGTTTTGACAGAAGAGAGAGAAGCAGAGAATCGAGATGAACTCAAACCACATCTCATTCACTACAGACAGACAGAGAGAAAACGAGGAGGGTATGTTTTTGTTCATTTGTTCCACTCAACAATCCAAAAGAATCAATGGTAAAACATATATGCTGAGATCTTTCAAATGTTTCATGAGATCTAAACAAACTTGTCTTTCAAACCCCTGCTGGGTTGGAGTGAATGTGGTACCCACAACATGTCCTGTCAGTGTACTTGACACATTGTTTGTAAGCCTATATAGTCCATGACCTGTGTGTGTGAGCGGACACGTGTAGGCTGTAATGTAGATTTACCTTCTCGGGTCATGGACTTCCACTGAGAACTTCTTCTCCCTGAAGTACAGGTTCTCCAACTGTCTCCATTGGAACACCTGCAGAGATGAGAGAACGTTTTTACAACATTCCCAAAATTTCAATCAAACAATCCATGGATGGTGCTCCAACGTCTTTAGACTGTAAACTCCTTCCAGATCAGAAAACTAAAAGAAAAGGCATTAAAAGAAAATCCAGAAGGTAAGTCCAGGCCAAGATATTTTACTTTTCTGTGCACTTTTGTGCTTAAGGTCAGTGTGAGTCTGTAAAATCCTCCTTAAGCACAGGGGAACAATGAGTCCTCCTCTGTATATGTGTAGAAAGAGAGAGACTGTTTGAATCAAGAGAGATTGAGAGTGAGAGAGCAAGCAAGAGTGGGAGGAGTCAGCCCCCTTCCAAGCCTCTCCTCCCTCAGGGACACACACTTCCTGTGTGGGTGGGGTTTATGGAGAGTTCAGAGTCATGTGTTTGTGTGTGTGCTATAGTAACCCCTCAAAACGCAGCGCAACAGCTTTGTTAAACTCCTCCACCTCTTTTCCCTTCATTCACTCAAAAAAACAGGTTCTGGTTCTCATTAAACGCCATCACGCACTCACACAGCTGTCTGCGGTACATACACTGGACCCCTGGAGCCATCAGCTGCACAGACACAAAGAAAATGCAATAGAAATAGAGAGTGGTGGAAAAAGTGGTATGAATATGCGTTTGCTGAAACTATTGCTTTCATTTAACAAGAAAAAGAGCCCTATACACTCATTCCAAGGTATATAAATGGTATACAATCTAAACTATCAAATACGTCCATAATTACTGTTAATAGTCATTAAAAGGACTTTGCATACAAACATTCCTTGGCAAAGACCTTGATTTAAGAAAAAAAGGAAAAGGAAAAGAGAAATGAAAAAATGATGGAAGAGAGAGGAGGGGAGGGGGTTGGCTTGAAGAGCTCAAGAATTTTAAGAGCCTGGGAAAACAATGGACAGATGAAGGAAGAGGGGAGGGAAGGAACATAGTTACACACACACACACACACACACACACACACACACACAATTTCCACATATATCACTAGGACTGGGAATTAAGAACTGGTTCCATTTAAAAAAAAAAATCTACTGGAACCAAATGATTTTCAAGGTTCTAATAACGGTCCTTTAACATCTGCAACATTCCACTGATGCAGATAAAATACTGCATTAAAATAGTCTTCCTGCAACTCTACTGAATCTAACATTTTAGATGAGATGAGATTATAATATAAATCGTATTTGGTATGAATCAATGAACGCAATATAAATAAAAGAAATGAAAGAGAAAGTCCAGTTGCTGCAAAATAATACAAAAATAATATTAAGAATACAGATTTATGAACTACAATTTGTGAACGAATGACTCTTTTTGAGGCAGTTCTTTCAAGAATCTTATGAATCAGTCTCAGGATTGTTATTGATTTAAATTGGTCTAAGTATACTTACCAGTGTTGTTATTGTAAACAATAAAAAAAAAAAGAATTTTTTTTTTTTTAAATAAATGTTGTCTTGGTGACTTACTAAAAGAAGTAAGTTTAAGTTGAAGTGTTAAAAGTAAAAGTAAAATCTTAAATAAAAATAAATTAAAGCTAAATATAAATAAATATATATAAAAAACAAAACTAATACAAATAACAAAAGAACACAAAATTGCTAAAACTTAAACTAAAATGAGAAACAAAATAAATACCATAATAGTATATAAATAATACTAAAATAACACTGATATATACAAACAATAAGTAACATGTTTTATAGTAATTAAAATAAAAGTAATATAGTAATAAAATTAATAAATAACATAAAATATATTACCAAAGATAGGATTATTTTGTTTGGTATAATGTTCTTCAAAAGTACTAAACAAATTGTTAATTCAGTTCAAATTTATTTGTAAAGCACTTCAAAAACCACAGAGTATACCAAAGTTCTGTACTTCTGTACTATTAAAATAACTAATTAAGATAAAACAGAGGAACATTAAACCAGAATATTTAAATTCCTTCTGATTTCCATCCCAAAATATCATAGAAACAGTGCAACTGAACAACACAGAGATGTTGATGAAGTGAATGTTTCTTGGTGTTAATGAGATGCTTTGATGGTCTCATGGGACCAAGAACAAACGTGACCCTCAACACTTTCAAAACAACTTTCATTATGGAGATACAAATCTTTCTCTCCTTAAGAGAGCGGGAGGGAGAGGAAAAAGAAAGTGAGGGAGGCTACAATGTTCCATGACATCTAAACGCTCTGTAGCGTGGTGCAGTTATAATAGCCAATGAGGTATGGAGCATTAACCACACCAGAGTATTTTGGGCACAGTGAGGTGGAACTGGGGACTTCAGATATTGTTCTGGATTGAGACGATCTCAGCTGAAAGTGTGTGTGATTTTGAGGCATTCAGTCACGAGAGGCTGTAAGAGAGAAAAGACATTTTAAAGGGGGCCCATGTGCCCAGTGATGTGCTGAATCCTGGTTAGTTCCAGCACATATTTCACTGACCGCTGAAACGTGTTCCAGTCCTCATGTTGTTTGGTTATTTAGATCTCTAGAAACAGGGTTAAATCTTGTTCTGGACTTCAAAGGATTTTAAATGAAGGCTCACAGCCATGGTGATGGGGTCCAGAGATTGGCTATGCCTGTATCTGAAAACCCCACCTCAGTTCTGATGCAGTTGATTCCAGTAAAGTCTGATGTTAGCATGCAGTTAAACGAAAAACTCAGAAACAAAAGCATGCAAACAACACACACGCAAATCCTAAGTGAAATAGTCTATTCTTAATCAGATGGTAACATTTTCCTTAATACTTTTCATTAAAATAGATTTACACTACCGTTCCAAATTTGGAGTATGACTTTCTTTTTTTTTAAGAAATCAATACTGTTATTTAGTAAGGATGCATTAAATTGATCGAAGTGGCAGTAAAGACATTTCTCAATTTAGAAAATATTTCCATTTCAAATAAAGGCTGTTCTTTTGAACTTTCTATTCAGCAAAAATTAAATAAATCATTCAATGCATTCTGAAAACAATGCAAAAGCTAACCACTTATTGAAATATAATCCTATCAAGAGTTCAAGCACAGAGTTAAGGATCACTAAAAACCAAAACACTTATCCAGAAAGTTCCAATATAAGGGAGTTTAGATTTTAATGAGTCTCATTGTAAATGTCATAGGTGTTTCATCACTATGACTCACATTCACTGCAGTTACTTTTATTATAACACACACATCGCCCACCCTGCAGTCTGTCTGTACATAGAATAATACAACAAGCCCCCACCCCTCTCTCACAAAGACACACAGAGACTACAGGAAGACTGTTTGTGTGTGGCATGGTATTTACTTAGCTGGAGCTATAACAAGCGCTTATGAGAAAAGACAGGGCATTGGAAAGGTCAAAGGTCACTAGCAGCAGACAGGATGAAAACAATCACCGGTGACTAAAGGGTTGCAATCCCATGATTCATAAGTACAATGTCACATCTGGCTAGAAGGGCAGCTATACACTTCTTTAATTTGCCATGCTGTTCATTTGTTTTACAAGGCAAGAATCTTTCAGTTATTGGAGCTAATGAGCTGATCCAAACCAATCAGAAACAGCCGCACACATGCCAGTTTTTGGGGAGTGGTCCCGGATTCGTCAGACACACTAATGTTTCCAGTATGTTTTGTGTTGTCAGGGTGACAGTAATCCTGCGGGTGTCTGCTGCTCGGTTTCCTGTTGCGGGTTTTGGAGTCAGCGAGGCTGCTGGAGGGAGTTTAGGTAGAGGACAATAGCTCTTGAGAAACACACGCACCCCAATTCAAGATGAAACCACAAATGTACTTGGTCACACCTCCGTGAAACTTTACACACACACTTTGGAACAGATGCTCTGCGGTTTCTCATTAGGAGAGGGTTTAAATTATGAAATTATGAAACTCATTAAATAAACCCAACCACTAACTCACCAAGTCTGCAACTTTTAGTGTGTGGCATATTTAACTGTATATCCCGCAGTCTCTCACACACACTGCCTACAGATGGAGAACAGCCACAAACCATTAGCGCATGTGAGCTTATCATCAAAACATTAAAACGTGCATATGTGATGGAGGCAAACTGTGTAATGAGAACATTAGTGGCAATGACCCATCTGAAATGCAGATCAGTGGAAAGTTGCAGCCTGGCATTTGAACACAGGGCTAGATGTCTGATTGTTCTCTGTGATTCATCATTTACTCACTCTCATGTCATTTCAAAGCTGTAGGACTGACTTTCTTCTGTTGAACATAAAAGAAGATATTTTGAAAAAAATGTCTCATTGTTAGTTTTTTTTCCCTATACAATGAAAGTCAATAGGGTCCAATGTTGCTGTGACTTGCACTGTATCAACAAAAACACTTTTAACATTATTTAAACTATATTATTTTGTGCTCTACAGTAAAACAAAAAAATATTATTACAGGTTTGGATCATCAAGGTGAGTAAATGATGACGTTCATTTTTGGTTGAACTATCCCTTTAAATTGTCATCCAGGTTTAGTTGGATTTGGCAGTAGAACTATAATTTTGTTTAGTTTGCATCTGTGGCATTTTTGGACACGCATCCGTTCTTCTTGCTGGTTTCTCTTCCCTCCATTCTGAGCTGCCCTCTGCTGTGTTGTATCTTTTCAACTTTCGTTTTCTGTAACAGATCCTTCTCTGTAAATAGGCCTGAGTTTGGCTTTTCGCTTGGCTGGACTTTCTGCTTTGAATGCTATTTTTAGCTTGCGGTTTTGGGAAAGGTTTTTCGGTTCCTCACCACAGGCTGAAGTTTTTGCCTGTCCTTTGGAGAGAACTTAAAACACTTGTGTGTGCTGTGAGAATGGAAAACCAAAGCCAGCGAACACACACCTGAAGTAAAGTCATTTCGACAGAAAGCATTTCTTCTGACTGAGACAGATTTGTAGCATTTCAGTTACCTGGTGTCACTGATCGTCTGTCTGGTAGTTTGAGAGTCTCTGTCTAAAGTTACAAAAAACGCTATGGGGTCAGACCGCCAGAGGTCATGACATATCTGAGGTCACCACACCCAAGTGTCAGACGGTCAGACTTCTCTTGGTTGACGTCATGAGGTTATGCAAAGGTGACCAGGTGATGAACACACATTCATACACATGCAAAAACACACAACTGAAGAAACTCATGCGAAGTTTCAAAACACAGCGTAAGGGAAACTGCTTACATCCACTGGATTTTCTACAAAGCAGAGAGTTTTAAAGGAGAAGTGGGATTTTTTTCCCTCCCTCATGAAGAAACAAAGAGCACTGTCATAAGCTACATTTTAAGTAGTGACTATGGTTCTGGGTGGTTGCCTAAGTCAAAAAAGACTAATTTGTCCATTTTATCGCCTGACAAGTAAGTCTGACCGCTTAGAAAAGTAATGGCCCACCTCTCCTCAACAAGTGACGTAATTTAAGGTCGTGTTCATGTCTGTAGCACAAATGGTGAGGGACGAACTATGCCAAGCACTACTATTACCATCAGGGAGGTAAAACTATTACAGGATGACCAAGATGAAGAGATGTGAAGGGAGGACAAACAGAAGTCAAACTATAGTAAGTCCACTAGGGCTGTCAAAAAAAAATTCGAATTTCGAATATCCGTCAAATAAAGAAAAAAATCCACAACGTTGCATTCGAATTTTAGGTCTGCATCAGCCGTCAGGCAGCCTTATCAGTGGCGCACGAAATGCGACGACAATGTTAGTGTCATTGCATTTTAATGCTTTTGTTAGCCTATCCAGTTGAACCCACTAGATGCGGCGCTGCTACGTTGTTCATTCAATATATAGTGGAAAACGAGAGCATCAGTGTGGCAAATATGTTGTTTACGATGAAACTGAAACCAAGCCATAAACCAAGCCGTTCACACAGAACGCATATTTATCACATTTTCTACCGGGGCATCTATCAGCGTTGCACTCGTGTCTCGCAGAAAGAGTTTGTTTAAAATTTAGGCAAGTTCAACTTTTAAAAAACATTAAAAAAAAGTCTCAAGACTTTATGGCGGTTTTCCCCCATCCCACTGTATCTCATGTTTTTAAATGAAGAAAGTAGCCTACTCTTTGTGATTGGTTTTCGGTCCTTTGTATTAAACTATACATACATGCATGCTGCTGTTTTTTCTTCTTCTACTTGTTTAAGCAACTTTATTAATTATATATGGTTTATAAACATTATTTTAAACATTATGCACTTTTTTTCGTCAT